GTTGCCCAGGGCTCCGTGCCGAGAGCCTCACCCGGGCTTTGGTGAGCAGCCCGTGCCAAAGCGTGGCCCGACCACCACCTCAAGGCAACAGGGGGTTTCCGTGGAGCACCTTGCCCTTACACCGTCAATAACCTTTGGTTTACCTGCATTAAAGCCGATCGTTTATGAACCATTTCCGAGTGGGACAACAAACATCCTGAAGCAGTGAGCTGCACACGGTGTCTGGCAGTTGTAGCCCAGAGCCAAGATCAGCCCAGATCACGGAGTACAAGATAAGAATCACAGATACCAGCCTCACACCTGGAAATATCCTTACCTGTGCAGCACTGCTCTGTATTTACTGTGCCTGAACAAAGATGGCTTTGATGGGTGGCGATGTGCTGCTGACGTGAACCTGCTGGCCACTGCCGCCAGCACAAATGCTGTGCGTTGGTATTCTGGGCCAGCTGCTGATTTAAGACCTAGATGTTGCTGCTTACTATATCTGGAACTGAGCAGGGCCAGCGCTTGGCACAACTGCGCCTTGTGCTACGTGCCTGCACCCACTGCCATTAGCAGCGAGAGCAAAGCTTCTGCAGCCTTCACAAGTCAGTGTGGATGGATCAGCTCCTGCCTTAGGAAACAGCCCCCCTTTACGTCCCAACGGTCCTGACTGCAGCCTCCCAGGTAGATACACACCTGTTTGTTCCTCCAGCAGCCACAGGACCACATGAACAGATGATAAATTTGCTGTCTCGCAGGGATACTTGCCTTCTGTAGGCTGCAATAGCCTTAGATGGAAAGCAGGATTCTTGGGTTTGTTGCCTTACATGCTTTAGGTCAAGAGTAGAAACTGAAGTTGTGCCCTCGCAGGTCATTGTACCAGGAACTACTCACTTCCCCCATACGCCAGGACTCTTACTGTCACTGGAGGCCACAAGATCTAAACTAGCAAGGTTTTGTCTTGTTTTTGCAGCTCCCTGGCAATTGGAACCACAACTGGATACAAGCTCTTCTCCTTAAGTTCTGTGGAGCAACTAGACCAGGTCCATGAAAGCAGTAAGTCTCCTGTTCTGCTGCAGCACAATATCAGCCGACAGGCTTTACCTGCATTACTGCACTTCACTCTGCCTCGAGGGGGTGATTCTGCTCACTGCCATTGCACAGAGGGCATCATTTCTGCTGTACCCATCTCGGGAGAGAAGCAGTTCTGGTTATTGCCCTGTGCACAGCAGCCCTTAGAGTGAGCTGCAGCCTTGGAGAAGCTACTGAAGGGTCAGCAGTACTCTCAAGGGGGAAGGAGTCCCACAAGTTTAGTCCAGCCTGTTTTTCACTGCTGTCAGTCTGACAGCAACAGCTTGCCCTGCAAGCCAGCATTCAGAGGTAGTTTACTACAAACACATTTCAGATACGTGGACAGGAGACTGCAGTTATCCAGCATCTGTGCCGGGATTCAACTCACAGGCTTTTAGTCCAGCATGGTGTTTACAAGCAAAGATGTTTTTAACAGGTTTGCTGTGTAAGAAGGTTAGTCACTGCAGGCTTTCAGCTGTGCTCAGGGCAGCATGCAATGCACTTAACAGCCCCAGACAAGTCAGGCCTCACAGAGCATGTAAGTGTTTCAGCTGAGATGCACCAAAGATATCTCCACAGCTGGGAGATACTAGTCTCTCTCCACTGGTTATAGAGGAGCCTCAGCAACCAGACATAGCTGCATCATCTGGAACAAAGTCCAGGCCCTTTTCCTCTTTACCTTACATAGTAACTCAACTGTTATACAGCAGCAAGTCATAGAGTTATTTCAGTATTATTTAGGAGTTCAGATTGCCCCCAGAAGCAGACCAAGGCCAGAGAAAAACAGATTCTCTGCTGGTGACATACTCAAGGTGATGGGCTGAGACACAAGCAGTTGCTGTACCTCCGGAGCAGGACAGCCCAAGCACCGAGCACCATTCAGGACTATCTACACTAAGATTCATACTCCCTGATGATTTAGTTGCAGGTCTACCAGGACCATTGTAATGGTGCCTTTTCAACATAACAGGAGTCATCCCAAACATGGTCTCTGCAAGACATACCACACCACCATTCACCACAGCCATGCTACAGCTCTCCAGAGACCACAGCCCCAGTGACAGGGAGGGCTTAAACACATCAGCCTTCCCTAAGGAGGCCAAGAAAAATCAGATATCACGCAGAATAAACAGTGAGTTACACACAGCTTGTTCCTTACCTCAGTAAGCCTCAACTTGTTCACTCCCTCCAGGAAAGTCCCTGACCAAGTTGGGTGAGCTCCTCCTTATTATATCCCCTTCCCAAGGATTAGCTTCAGCTGGAGAGCCCTGCCCAGGAGAGGCACAACAGCAGTGTCAAAGGGGGCTGGCTTAAATTCTGCCTTCAGGGGAAGGTTCATTAACCCCTTCCTGCTCTGTCCTAAATATTTGTGTCAGGTATGAGAAATTTTTAACAAAAGCAGATGTCGAATACCTTAGCACTGAGCATCCCAACCCGATTCCTTCTCGAGTTGAGTCTTACTTGTTGCTGCAATCAAACCAACCATAAGCCAAGCTAAAGACTTTGTCTTGCTTTCTTTCTGTGCCCAGATGAAATCCCAGATGTTTACATCGTGGAGCGTCTGTTCTCCAGCAGCCTTGTGGTTGTGGTCAGTCATGCCAAGCCACAGCAAATGAATGTCTACCACTTCAAGAAAGGGACAGAGATCTGCAACTACAGCTATTCCAGTAACATACTGTCCATCCGGCTGAATCGTCAGGTAAGAGGCTGGGGAAGGAGGTTAGCCAGAGTTGTCCTGCTCTGGCTCTTTGCTGGTGTTGACTTTAGAGCCAGGACCCCGCTGGCAGCCTGGGTAGGTTTGTTCAGAGACTGAGGTGGGACTAGAGGGGTTGGTACCTGTCCTGTCCTACCAGCTCCACTTCAGGCTTAGTGACCTCTGACAGAGGAGCAGGATGGCCATGGAGATCATCTGCCACGCCAGTTTGCTTCAGTAAAATGAAGCTAAGTCCTTGTTTTTGTAGCAGTTACACAAAGGTTGTTATCTGCCTTCTTGCCTAATCAGCACGCAGCTCTGCCAAAAAAACACCTTTTCATCTTCCTCCCTCCCTTGGATTCCACATCCTGACTTCAGGCCCACCTCTGCCATCTTGGTTGCAAATGAGACCTTCAAAAGTGGTAACAAAACCCATGAGTAACTTGAACTCTGTGGATGAGGCGAAAGGCTGCTTCTCAAGTACTACTAGCGGCCTTGTTTTATTTTTAAGGGTACAGAAAGGTACACTCAGGCCACTTAGAAGAAGGCTTTTAGAATGTTATTCTCTGAACTGACACAGCCTCATGCAACCCTGAGCCCTTTTGGAGGATTTTAAGTCATCTTTTCTTTTTGTCCATAATTATTTTCAAAGTATATGCCATAAGAAGCAGAGGACATTTTACAATGAAGAAATAAGCAGTCTCTGTAATTGTATATAATCAACCTCTCCTCAGTTAGCAACAGTGAGTTCTGCACTAAGGCTCTCCCATAAGGAAACTCTGGGTTGAGTTTCCAGTAAAGCTGTGTTTGACCAGAAGTTCCTGTACTACAATTAAATCTGTCCTAAATTGATTTTTTTCACTTAAACTTACAACGGAGCTGGCAAAATAAGGACTTCCTTTGAATTGCAGATAGATATATATGTATAAAAATAAGCTGGGAGGTTCTGCTTAGGAGCTCTAGGAGATTAGTGTGAGAATAAAATAAGTTCCGGCTTTTACCCATTTTCCGGCTTTTACCCATTTTCCGGCTCTGGAGATTGCCTGAAGATGATGCACAGGCCCAGCTTTGCCTCCACATTCTTTGGCCGCTGTATGAGCTTGAGTTCAAATCCTGGGCTGAGCTCATCCTCCAGCTGTAACGCAGACAAACCTGGAGAGATCTGAAGGTGCTAGAGATGCTTGGGTAGATAGTAGAAAAAATCACTGTTTCTTTCTACATTCAAGATTTAAACTGGTGGCAGTCAGGTTCTGCATGTGCTGTGACATTTGAGCCTTTTGCCTGGGCTTTTGCATCAAAGCTGTACTTCATTAAAAGGCTGTAGAAAGCCAAATCCCATACAAGGCGTTAACAGAGGAAAATGGTGGCAAATAAAACAGGAACAGGTCTCAAACAAATGGTGCGTGTTTCAATTTGATCTCTCCGAAAAAGTTCTTACTGTGCAAACGAGCGAGTCCCTCAGTTGTTGATCCGTGGGAATTCTTTGTTCCAAGCTCGATTATAACTTTCAAGTGCGTTAAGGTAGATTGTGATTTGTCTCCAAGTGGGGAATAAGGCTGTGCTGTGGGACTGGTGAGAAGCTCTCCCACAGCAACAAATGGTGCGTGTTTCAATTTGATCTCTCTGAAAAAGTTCTTACTGTGCAAACAAGCGAGTCCCTCAGTTGTTGATCCATGGGAATTCTTTGTTCCAAGCTCGATTATAACTTTCAAGTGCGTTAAGGTAGATTGTGATTTGTCTCCAAGTGGGGAATAAGGCTGTGCTGTGGGACTGGTGAGAAGCTCTCCCACAGCCTCCCTGGGTTTTTATTCACTGCTGAAACCCTGCTGAGCTCTTTGGAGAGGTTTGCTACTTTTCCCTGGCTGGGTCCATACCCAGCACATGTAAGTCCTCAACGCACACCTCACTTACCTAACCTGATTCGTGTCACACGGAAGCACTAAAGAAAAATACTGGTGAGCAGTAACTTTTTGTACTAGGTGCAGTGCCTTGAACCCTGTGTAGCCATTGCAACACCAGGCACCTTGTCTGAGGCTCTGTCTGTGTGCACAGTGAGAATAAAACCCATTCCTCACCTCAGCAGGGTTTGCACTGGCCTTAGCATGGGCTCCAGGGCTGTCCGGAGGGCAGGAGGCAGAGAACCAGCCCTCTCCAACTCGTGGTGAGCTTGTCCAGGCCTCCTTCACCTGTTCACCTCCCACCCCCATCACTTTCCTGGATTTTGTCCCTGTTGGTGCCAGCATCTCTTGCTGCAGCTCTGGCTGTTGCTTTGCCATCATCTGGAAACCTCCCTTCACCTGTACAGCAATAGCAGTGTGTTTTGCAGTTCTGGGAAAGCACATGGTGGCTTTGCTGAAATCAGCTGTATAAATATTACTCTGACGGTCTCTGCTAGCAAGTTGATGGCTGTTACTGTAGAAAAGGCAAAGTCTTCCTGGAAATGCAAAATGGCTCTGACACAGCCCCAGATGCTGTGGTTAGCAGGAATAGAAGTGGGCAAGAGTTTGATCCGAGAGTAATGGTGGAGCAAGGCAAAGATTTTCTAATGTGGGTGTTTCAAGTTAGTGACTAAGCTCCACATTTAGATACTAAATCAGTGGCCTCATTTCTAAAGAGGTGGAGGCTTCCTGTACATGGATTCGGGTGCTCCAACTTCAGGAGCCTGGATAGAGTCTGGCCTTACATTTTTATTGGGAGGTTTTCAGCGCTTCTGGACAGTTGGCACTAACGTAGGTGGAGCTGCGTGCTTGCCGGGCTTAGAAATCACAACTCCTCAGCCAGATCCAAAGCCTGGTCCCAAAAAAACCTCTATGCAAAATGCCTCCGTGGTAACATGTAGAAATCTGGACCAAGCTGAGACAGAAAGCTGAGCGGTCTCGGAGATGGTGGCCCAGCGCTAAGGTTATAACATTAGGCTCCTTTTTTCCTTTCTGCCTTTCCTCCCATCGCTCGGCAGCTCCTCTCTTCGTGGCTGCCTCTTGACTGGCTGGGTGGGTGGGTGTTCCTGACGAGTTTGGTAGAAGACGTACAGGCACATTAACTTGGAAATACCCTACCCATCTGCCAGGATGGTGTAAATACTTGGTGTGAAACACTAACCACTGCGACTGCCCCTGAACAAATGTTTCCTGGCCCAGATTTTATGCAATTCTGCTGCACAACTCAGGGCACATAAAGCAGAGTCTTGCCTGCTGATGCTGAATGGGAAAAGAAATATGAATTTGCTGAACAGATGCATTAGGTTTAGCAGTGGGAAGCCAATCACCTAAATGTTCAGTCCCAAATCAGGAAGAAGTCTGGGCAAGGGGCGTGTAGTCCTATCTTTAGGCATACTGACAGGCAGGATTGGCAGCCCCTCTGCTGTCTGGTCTTTATGATCAAAAAGTAATTTGCTATGAAAAAAAATTGCAAAGAAAAGCTCGGGGAGGAATGGATGGCAATCAGGCCCCCATGGATAGGGTATAACCCTGATGTGTCTTCCTGTTCCTGGGGTCTGAGGATGTGGAAGGTCAGCTCTTAGAGTAGCAGAGGGGTCCTGATGTTTCATCTGCTTTCTAAAGCAAGACCAGGTGCAGGCAGCTCTCGAAAGTAGAGTCATGCAAAAATCAAAGGCTGTCCAGTCAGAGGGGATGGAGAAGCAGAAGAGGTCATGTTTCTGTTACATTTCAGTGCGTGAGAAATTCCTGTTGAGTTTTTCTAACAGTGAAGATTTGGGTGTGTGAAATGTGGGAGCAGCAGACAGAGGCACCGTGCCCATGCTGGTGAGGTTCTGTGCATGTTCCTTGTGTCCTTGCAGAGGCTGGTTGTTTGCCTGGAGGAGTCAATTTACATCCATAACATTAAGGACATGAAGCTTTTGAAGACTATTCTGGATACACCTCCAAATACAACAGGTAAGCACAGAAAAACTGTGTGAAAGGGAGATACTAGCTCTGGCTGAGCTTTGTAGAGCCACAACACTCATGTTAGAATTGAAACCAGCCTGTGGTTTGTGTATCTTAATTCAGCTTCGGGAAGCTAGAAATGCGTGGAGGCAGGCAGTCGGGCTTGGGAGAGCACAAACCCTGCTCTGTCCTGAGCAGATGCATCGAAGGAGAGCAGAAATGGTCAGCGTGGTTTGAGTACACCTCCCGGGTTCAGTCCCTTCCTGTTCTCGCACGGGATGCCTGTGCACCTCACAGCTTCCCACAATGTGCCTTTATTCTCTTTCACAAGCAGAAAGCTGTAAGGCAGGCCAGGACTGCAAGTTTCCTTCCACATATAGGACAACTTGAAACTCTCCCTCCAGGGCTCCCTGCCCTTCCTTCACCATGCCCTACGTCAGTCCCGCAGCGTTTTTGCTCTCTGGACAAAGGAGCCCCACTTCCCTGCACTGCCGGTGTGAGTCAGCTCCGCAGCGTCATTTTTTGGCATTCCCTGCAGACCTGCGGTTAACCCAGGTTCTTTTGGCCGTGGACATGCGCTGCTCCACTAAGGTAGAAAGCTCCTGTGATTACTTACGGGCTTGGGGTCAGCTCCCAAAGTGATTAGCGCTGTGAAGATCAGCCAGGGCAGAAAACACCGCCAGGCACAGTGCTAATTCCCTGCCAGGGAGTTCTCAGGAGCCTGGGCTGCCACCTGATATTATTCCATATACGCTGCAAACCTAAGGGGCAGGGCAGGTTGCTGCAGAACAGATCCTCTCTGTGCAGCGCGGGGTGAATCTGGCTTTCCTGCTCATGGGAGAGGAGCTATTTTTAGCTGCGGATAGGGAAAGTTGGCCAGGCGCCTGCGGCAGCGCTGCCATATGTTGCTGTGATAGCCCGGTCGGTCGCAGGCTGCAGCATCGTTTCATGGGTTGTTGATCGGGAAGTTGCTGATGTGCTCACGCCTGGCTTCAGGGCTTTCAAGGGATGCTCTTCGGGCAGCTCCCCTGACCTACTTCAGATCTCAACAGATGGCCTCTCCATGTGGATTAAACATACTAAATACTGCAAATATAATTAAAGTTTAAAACCTTTTCGAGAAAGCCCAGCAGCAGCAGGAAGGGCAGGGATACCCAGGCCTGAAGCTGTTCTGCAGTGGGGCTGAACGATCAGGTCATGGTTTAAGAGCGACAGCAATCAGCGCTCACCAGGACAGGACTAGGCTGCTGCAGATCACAGGACTTCAGAGGGGCTTAATTTTTTAAAACCCTTTTACCACAGCAGCTGTCATTGAAATGAGCTGAGTGACAAGCGCTGTGCCACGCGTGCTCCCTTCATCCCTGGACCATCTGCTTTGGTCCCAAGCCTGACCTCGAGGGCAGCGTGTCCAAGAGGCCAAGGCAGTCCAGCCTCACCACTCTTTGCACAATCCTTTTTGGAGTGAGGATCTGTGCTGAGGGGGTGTAGGACCACACAGCAAGCGTGCCACCCCCCCAAAGCGTTCACCATGGGCACAGTGACATCAGTATGGTGAGGACTGGGATTTGCTGCACACCCACCAGCCAGTTGCAGTGAGAACCCCGGCTGTTCCTGGCCAGGACCTGGCTCCTGGTCCAGCCTCCTTCCCGCAGGAGATGAAAAATGCCCACGATGGGTGAGCCTGTTGTTTTTCACATGTGCTCAAACTCGTTGTTTTTCATGTGGCTCGTGTCAGGGACAGGATTTGCACCGAGGAGGTTGCAGTGCTCACGCTGATGTGCATGCTGTGAGGGCATGTCTCAGGGATGACTGCAGCTTTGGAAATCACCTTATGTGGCTCCCCTCAAGCCCCAGATCCACCTGGACCTGCTGGCTTGGGGGCAAGGCCAGGCTTCTTGGTTGCAGTAGCTTTTCTCCATGCTGCTCAAGGAAGCCGCCTGCGATGTGGCATTCCCAGACCTACCATCCTGAGCAGCACCAGCCCTCCTGAGCCTGCCACTGCATGCGGCGACCCTCGTCAGGGCTGCGGGGCTGCCCAGAGCAGAGGAGCATCTTCAAAGGCTTGATCCTTGTTCTTTGTGTGTCCCGGAGGTCAGCCCAGTACACTCACATCTGTGTTTTCCCCTGGCGTGGTTTCCCGTCCGCCTCTCCCAGCCAGGCACGGAGCAGAGGGAGCGGGTGACTCACACCAGCCGCTCAGAGCTTGCTTTGTTTAGCTTGAGCGTTCTCTAGATCCTCCACTTAGAGAAGTGCCTGGGCCAGGAGAAGACCATCCTGAACAGACACCCTCGCTCATCACGAACAAAGTCTCTGGGCTCTCTCTACCTTCCTCCTATCCCTCCCTCTTTGGGTGCTTTTAATTGCCTGCACTTTGCTGCTGCTGCGCCTCTTCTCTGCGGTGCGCGTCGTCCCTGGCATGATGTAAATGCCTCTGATTGATAGGGAGTGGATCCCTGCGGCCCCTGGCCGATCCTGTAGCTCCTGGCTCCGCTGCGGTCTCTTTGTTTAGTTATAAACAATGACCTAAAATGAGAGCTTCAGCCGATCCTTCCCCGCTGCTGGGCCTGGGCCAGGGCCATGTCCTGACACGACGGGTTGCACGGCATGTGTGCGCACGTCCGTGCATATACGTGCACGCGTGCGGGCATCCTGTTTGGGGAGTATGGCAGGGTCCCTGGCAGCCTTTAACCCCGCGGCTTCCTCCACACGTGGGACTAGGTGGGACCCCCTGGTGGGGGCCAGGAAGCTCAGGTCATGCTGAAGCCTTGAGTCGGATTTGGGAGGACTGTGAGCATGCGGATATGGTGCAGGAAGCAAGTGAGACTCGTTTCTGTATGTGACAGGATTCACTGGGATGGGTCCTCAGCCAGCAGCAGACATGCGAGACAGGAAGAGATGCTCTTTGCCGAGGTCACCTGGGGGACAGGCGGAGGGACACATCCATCCATCCCTCCCTCCCTCCCTGTCTCATCTCATAATTCCTGCTCACTTTGAAAGGGGTGTTTGGGAACCTTTATGCTCGTGTTGGCATAAAAGCAGATGGCTATGATGGGGAAGAATTCCCCCTGTGGTTAAAATTTAGCTACATTCAAGTTCTTTGTCAGCCGGAAACTCCCTGCACCACTGTGGCATTTGCTTTGTCTTTCTCTGCTTCCCTTTTCCCTTCAGAGAAAAAGGAAACAGCGCTGCCCAGCCCCACAGCCGCTGCCTTGCCTTGCCAGCCTTTGTACCGGGGCTGTGTCCACACTGCGCTGCTCATCTGAGCTTCTGACCCAGCACCTGCACTCCGCAAACATCTGGAGGTAGCCAGATGTGCCTGAACAGGAGTCCTGTTAGCCCTGAGACCAAGATGTCCCTTGCTGTCTTTCATGCACCCACTCTTGCCTTCTCAAAGGAGATGATTAAGGGGGAGAAGCCAAGAGTGTGCCCAAAAGCAGGACCTGGGCTCCTTCTGAGCAGGGTTTGGGGGAGAATGGTGGCTGGGAGAAGGGAGCCGTACTGTCCCATACCAGCAGGTGTCCCCATGGCCGAGGCATTGCCAGCACGCAGCCGGCGTGCGCCCGGTGCCGGACACTGCCCCAAAATGAGACAGAGCCTGAACCCCCTGTGGTGGCCATGGCTGCGTTTCTGCTTTCCATCCTCCACCAGCAAACAACCTCAGCTGTGTCCTTCTTGCCTTGCCAGGTCTGTGCGCTCTCTCAATCAACCACGCCAACTCCTACTTGGCTTATCCCGGCAGCGCGACCAGCGGAGAGATCGTGCTTTACGACGGAAATACTTTGGTAAGTGCGAAGCTCGCCCATTTGGATACGGCAGGGACTGAAAACAAACAGAACCACAGCAGAGCCAACAGGGCCTTTGGGAAGAGTGAATAAATACACTCCACCGAGCTAGACTGCAAGGGAATCGCCTGGGGCAGGCACGTCCCCTTGTTTGGACGCCATGAGAAGCAGACAACCTCTCTTGAGATCAGGACATCCATCTCCCAGTACAGGATCTTCAAGGAAACATGACCCATTACCCTGCAGCCAGAGGGCCGCTGCCAGGCTGACACAGGGGTTCCTATAGGGGGTTCCTATAGGGGCTTCAGCAGCATATCCCATGGGGGTGGTGGGACCAGGGTGGCTCAGGGAGGGCTGGAGCTGCTCCAGGCACGGCGCAGGACCTGGAGCAGCTGCCTTGCCACCCCACAGGCTGGAAGGGATGCCAGACCCGAAGTCACGGAGAGGGTGAGGTGTCCAAAGCCCCCCTCAGGAAATCTGTCCCTGGCTGGAAGCAGGGTCATGATTATCTGCTGTTTGTGGCAGGGCTTTGGATTACATAAGGCTGCCGCTCTGTACGTGCAGGGGGAGCTAAGGATCTGCAGCAGGGGAGGAGCAGAGCAGAAGGGGAAAACACGCTGCTGCTGTGAGAGATACTAGTGAGGGCCTGGGCTCCCTGCAGGCATCAGGGTGGTGTCGCTGCAGCAGGATTTGCTGTACAGCTGAGCTAATTGCAGGGAGGCCAGCTCTGTCTCTGCACGAAGAAATGCCAGGCTTCAGAGACGGCGCAGTCCCGATCCCACAGCCTGGAGAGGTGGGGAGCTGAGGACCTCTGCCCCTGAAATAAGCTTTCTGTAATCACAGTGGCCCTAGTAGGTGGGAAGTGAGCTCAAGGCAGGGCAAAGATAAGAAATGCTGAGGATGTTGAAGGGATACCATAAGCGCGATATGATCCCGTGAATCCGTATCGGCAGGCCTGGGTAGGTGCAAGGCAGGGAACGCCCTGCCGTTACACAGTCCGGGGAGCAACGTGTGTCTCCATTCACATTACCTTCTACCCCACAGAAAACAGCCTGCACGATTCCTGCCCATGACGGGCCTCTGGCTGCTCTCGCCTTCAACTCCACCGGCTCGAAGTTGGCAAGTGCTTCCGAAAAAGTGAGTGAGTGCTGCTGTGAGCACCCTCCCTGCTGCCTGTGCTCTCTGCCTGCAGCTGTCAGGGGGCGTCCCAGCCAGCTCGGCTGCCTGGAGCATGGAGAGCTCTGAGCTGCCTGTTCTCAAACACAGCCAGCACAGGAGGGGCACTAAAAGGACTCTTGACTTGTAAGAGGCCAGTGTATCGGGTTCAGCTGGCAAACAGGAGGGGCCTTTGCACGTCCTGAGTTTCCTGGGTGTGTCAGAGAAAGGGCTCGTGCTCTTTGCCCTGCTCCTGCGTGATCTTTCCATTTGCATTTTTTGCAGGGCACAGTCATTCGTGTATTTTCCATTCCTGGTGGGCAAAAGCTCTATGAATTCCGGCGAGGGATGAAAAGGTCAGTTCATTCTTCTGTTGGTGACAAGTACACAGAGGGCTCCCGGAGCAGAAATGTAAACACAGGGATAGGGCAACAACAGATCCTGGTGGCTTTGGCATCTTTTGCAGAAAGAAAACAAGAGCAGGCGTATCAGATAGAAATGTCATTGTGCCAGACAGCCACACTGCGCCCAGCTGCCTCCGGCAAGTTTAGTGATTCAATTCAGTGTGTCACAGAACAGGCAATCGCAGAGAACAGAGGTAGATTCTGTCCATTTACTCTGTCCTTTCTTGTTTCTTACTTGAAATAATGAAGTCCCCAAAGTTATCAGCCCAACTCTTGCCCTCTCAAAGGAGGTGTTTCAAAGCTACTAAGTCACTTGTGCAGAGCCCAAGTCTCGATGGCAGGGATGGGCTGTTGCTGCCCTTCTCCAGGCTCCCTCAAATGTTTTCAGATCTTTTCCTGCCTTTTCCCTCTTCCCCATCCCCGACCTCCCTGTCACCCACTTCTGCAAGGACAAAAACTGCTGTGACCGAGACACCCTGGCCCTGCTGAGCCTGCGCAGGAGGAGATGCTGCATGTATCTGGCTACCCAGCACTTTGGATATCCTCCCTAGCCTTTGCAGTACCAGAAGCTTTAGCTGCTGTAGCGAGGGCAGTGCAGATGTTCACTCCACAGACAGCTCTGTGAGCAAGGACATTTCCACCTCTGGCTGTTTGTCACTACCTGAGGCTACCCCCAGCTATGCTGGGCGAAGGGATTAGGGAAATGCTAGTCAGTCAGCCAGGCAGCCTGCTCCTCGCTGTGTATGGGTCTCCTTCCTCCCCATCCTCTTCTCTGTAAGCAAAACCGAGCAGTTCCCTTTGAACAGTACACCACAAAGTGACTGGTCCTGTCTTTGCTTGGCTCTAGGTATGTGAACATCAGCTCTCTGGTCTTCAGCATGGATTCCCAGTTCCTCTGTGCTTCCAGCAACACGGAGACCGTGCACATCTTTAAACTGGAGCATCTCTCTGACAGGTGAGGGGGTGAGCCTGGGTTAACCTGGGTTAACCCCTGCGCCAGGGGTTTCTCTGCTTCAGACGTCTGCCTTTATGCAGCTGGCCTCCATTTCCTCACCACGTACTCTCCGTGAGCAATACCAGCTGCAAACTGTCTCTTTGGCTTTGTGTCCCGAGGGGCTCACTCCTTGGAAAAGCTCCACACTGCATCCCTGCTGTCAGCCTCTCCAGGCCTGCGCTGGGTTCGTTAGCTGCCACTGTCCCTTGCCTCCTTCCCAGGCATGCAGCTAGGCTAGTGCACAATGTGTGCAGGTGCCCCAAAGAAAGCCTTCACGTATCTGAGATCAGGATCATTCTGGCTGTTCCTGCTCTGTTTTGTCGCGGCTGACTGTGGTAGCCCCACTGATGCTGCTTTGTGACCCCCTCAGCCGGTCAGAAGAGCCTCCAACCTGGAGCGGTTACATGGGAAAGATGTTCCAGGCTGCTACCAACTACCTCCCTGCTCAGGTATCGGGCATGATGAACCAGGATCGAGCCTTTGCCACTGTCCGCCTGAACATCTCTGGACAAAGGAACATCTGCACCCTCTCCACGTATGTGTTTTCCTCTGCGTCCCCTCTGCCACGCCAGCCTGTGAGCAGACACAGCTATCTCTGCAGAACACCACGACTGCTCCCCCTTATCTTGCACCCATGCCTGTGGAGCACGCAGTGGGGGTGCGTGCCGTATCTGTGTGCAAGTGCAGATGTGTTTGGGCTTTTCTCTTTAGGATTCAGAAGCTGCCTCGACTCTTGGTGACTACGTCAGATGGACATCTCTATATCTATAACTTGGACCCCCAAGATGGAGGGGAGTGTGTCTTAATTAAGAAACACAGGTAACTATACCTCCAGACACATCTGATACAGAGGTTGATCACATAAAAAATCAAGGGAAATTTCACCTGATTGATAGCACAAAATGGAGCTGTAGGAGCAAGAACGTTAGAACTGACTTTGGGATTTTAGCTGCCTGATCCGACAGACATGGGTGGGAAGCATGTCAGCAGGCAGGGACGTGGGGCTTCTTGCAGAAGAAACCAGAGACTTCTCAGATCCCTCAGCAGTGGTGGGACATCTCAGCTTAGACAGCAGAGGTGGGCAGGCTGTGCTTTGGGCGATGCCTCCAGCAGCAGAGCGCTGACCACCACGGTGGCGGGAGAGCAGAGCACCTTCTCCAGGCATGAGTGGGTGCTGGAGAACTGACTTTGGGGGTAGGATGGTGTGGAGCGACGCAGGGAGCTTCCGTAAACAAAAACCCGCACAGATGCACGCCTGCAGGCATGCAGTGCCAAAGCAGAGTCTTCCGTGCTGCTGTTCAGTTTGTATGCAAATGTGATTAAGCACGTAACCCCCCCCCACGCACATCTGGGCTACTTGGCTGCAGATGTGAAGCCTTTGGGGTGGGGTGCGATGTAACATGTGCTCTAAGCCGGGAGGTGGCTGACAGCCAGGAAAATGCCAGCAGTTTTTTGAAAAGCCACAAACCCACGGCACTTCAAAGCTGCGCTGTCCAGCATGCTCCGGCCGCCCCACCGCCTTCAGACACCGCTGACGCCCGCCTGCTCCCGTCCCGAAGCGGCCGTCCAGAGCTGGCAAGCCAGCTTTGTATGTGGGTTCCTCTTAGCATCAGAGGACTGAAAAGGGCCCTTGGGTCATGAGTTACGTTACATCATACTGTATCTCTGCTCAAACTCCATCCTAAACTAGCCAGTGCTGCTTTTCCCATCTAGTCCGCTCCTGTTGGAAGCCCTTTGGAGCCCCCTCTGTGATTAGAAACACTGTTTGCCTTTGTAACCTAAAGCTTTTGTGGTCAATCTGTTCCCTTCTATTCTCATGCCAGCATTGTCCTCTAGCCAAAGTAGTGCTTTCCCTATCTTCTGCTTCCCCCCTGCTTTACTTGTCGAGCACAATGTTCTCCTCTGCAGTGCTGCTAGGGCTGCAGGCAGTGCCTGTGTGCGGCAGTGCGGATGGGTGATGTGCTTCCAGGAGACACGGATGCGTGTACTTGTCTTAGCCGGTGCTGGGGGAGAAATGGTTGGGATCAGAACTAACTCTTCTCCCCTCTCTTGCTGCTGTACAATTAGTCTGCTTGGCTCAGGAAAGATGGAGGAGAACAAAGAAAATGACCTTCGGCCTCCATTACCTCAATCTTATGCAGCAACTGTAGCCAGACAAAGTACAGTGCCTTCAACTTCGACCATGCCAGGTAAGCATCACATCTGCCCTTCCTTGGGCAGAAGCAAGAAAGCAACCTTGGGCAAAGTGGAAAGTCTCCCAACTTCCAAGGGTTCAACCAGAAACACCACTTGGGCAGTGCAGGCTGGGGGACCAGGACTCTCTGGAGCTCACACGCGTCATCCCCTGCCCCAAAACCAGGCCAGGTGTTTTCTGCTCTGTTTCCCGGGACCCCTTCCCAGCGCTTCTCCTCCTTGTGCAGAGCTGCACCGCAGCCGGGCCCGCCGGCAGAGCAGTAACCACATCCAAGCTTCACAGTTTGTCAGACAGCCGCCGCTGCCAGGACGGTTTCCAGGAGCTGAAAGTCAGATCTCACTATTTTTGTGGCAAGACCACTATGGCTTCTCCTAAATCTGTTATACCTTACCCTAACAAAGCTAGCACTAAATTGTTGCAGGAGAAGGCTGGGTGACTATCTCATTATATTCCCGAGCCTAAAGGTCCGCATACAGATGTGGATCTTATTCTGGAATTGGTGCTTACATTCATGGTGGGAGGAGAAAAGCTTCTGCCACAGGAGCTAGCCTGTAGTCCGTTCCCTAATCTGTCGTGTCGATGGAGATATCTTTTCCTTCCACAGACCACAGAGCTCTGCCAAAAAGCCAGAGAAGGCAGCTCTCTGCTAAAAGGATATCGACGTAGTGTCTCCGCTGTTTGTTTCCAGCCTCCTTCTATCCATTTGTCCATAACGTTTTGTATTTTCGCTTGGACAGGTTATTCGGAGGACGGTGGTGCCCTGCGAGGAGAGGTTATCCCAGAGCATGAGTTTGCAACTGGACCAGTGTGTCTTGATGACGAGAATGAGTTTCCTCCTGTGAGCATTCGGGACCCCTAAAACTGCAATTCAGCCCTCATGCTAAGAAGAAAGTATTAACCTCTTACAGAAGAGATACTGTTGCCCCCACCTTGTCCCAGCTCACTGGGAAGCCTAAAATAACTAATCAAGTTATAGGGACAGTGCCAGGAAAATTACACACCCCCCCCCTAAATGGCAGCTGGGGATGGGGCAAAGATGATCAAACCTAATAATTAGAGATGGATCTGAACAAACTAGTTGAATGAAGTGCAGATGTGGAATGACGTTCAGATCCAGATCTGACCTTTGTGCCTTGCGCAGATTTCTAGTATTACTAGGAATAGCTTTAATTTGAACAGTACCATCATTTAGAAATAAAAACTTAGTACTCCCTCTTGCATTTACAGTCAGTTGTATTAGTTTATGGAATGCAACTGGGACATACCTGAACCTCACCAGTCTTTTCATTTCCAAGCTAACTGAAAAGGAAACAAAGATGAAAGGTATAACCGTTTTAAACCGGTTTACGATTTTTATATGACACTTTCTCAGTTACCATTGGAAGAAGATACTGGCTTTTTAAAATCTAACTTAAGCCTGGCAGTGTCTCTCCTGATCCTCTTGCTATTACAAACACATTTATCATGTTAAGTATTAACCCCTAAATGGACAGATGTTGGTACCGTGCTGTGATCTGGTTGTAATCAGCGGTGTCTTCATAATCGTAATGCATTCATACGGCAGAATATTGTAATGGATTTCCAGTTGTAGGCTTGGCAGACTTTTGAATCCCTTACTCCATTTTTACATATCCTGCTGTTTGAGTTTTGCCTGAGAAGGAGGAAATAGAAACTTTATCGGGATCCCAGGATTTGTTCCTGGGAGGAACAGAGGCTGACCTCTGTGAGGCACTTTCTGTTAGCTGTTGCAAAGTGTTCCTTAGATAAAAGGTGACTAGCTCATGACTCCCTCTGAAACAACACTACCTAAACCCAGCTCTTCAAGTTGCGTTAACCTCAGACCAATTCTCTTTTGTTACCTGTACTCTAACCTGTTGCAAACTGACAACAAGAGTTTTCTAGTTCTCCGACTCCGTTACCCAAGCAGGGTATTTAAAACATCTGGTCAGAGTTGTGTGGCAGCGGAGAAGCTGGTGGCCCAGGCCCCTGGAAGGAGCAGCAGGGCCAGAGAGAAATCCTTTGCTTCCTTCTGATGAACCTGCTCTTGAACATGTGGTTTGGGGACAAGCAAATGCCAGCAAGCAGGAATCATGCTGCTCCTGAATGAGCCTTCCTGCTGGGACTATGCCGTAGAAGAGCAGCCCCAAACCCCTGCTGTACAACAGCAGGTGCTTTATTAAATGAACTTTCATCTGTCAAAATCCTGTGCTGTAATTAGCCTGACAGCAACTTACATGTGTAATGTTAGGGAGGAGGTGGTGTGGGAGGGAAGGCGCTTTCCAAAAATACTCCCTGATACGGTGGTTTAGCAATTGGAGCTTCCAGGTGAAGTGTCTGCAGGTAGGACTGCGGGTTTGCCCCTCCGTTGCTGACAGTTATGTGTTTTGCATCTTGTCTACCAGCTAGTGTGGCACTGGCTCCCGCCGCGTGAGTGCATAAGGAGAGTTGGTCGGGATGTTTTGATGCTCTGAATTTCACTGAACTTTGCTGTTTTCTCAAGCGAGATGTTCGGTCTCAGTGACGCGTTCGAGGGGGGTTTCAGGCATCGGTCACTTCTGTGTTGAGAAGGAGGGAGAGAAAAACCTGACCTTATCCAACAAAAATGTTTTGACAGCATTCTGCTTTGCGGAAACATGGGAAGAGTTTTGTTTGTTTTCCAGTGTGCAACAAAAAGACATTTAAAAACCTCAAAACTTGTGACAAAATGGAATATTCACCCGCAGCCCACGCCACGAGTACGGCTTTGAACTTAGACATACTTCTGGAGAAGGAGCAGTGCTCAGACCCAGCAGTTCCTCTCCATTTTGAAACATCTTGCCTTCCCCTGACCTCAAGCAAGACTTCAGACGTTCAGCTGTTAAGAGCAAGGAAAAGCAGCTTCAGTCTAACATAAAATCTGTTGCCAATTGTCGAAAACTGCCTCTTCGTTAAACAGAAGGAGGGACAGATCGGAGAAGAGATGGGAAGCCCAAGGAGGGCTCGTAAGAAGTGGCCTCAACAAGAGTGAACGTGGATGTTCCTACTGAGTGTGCCAGGACTGCTGAAGGATCCTGCGGCAAGAGGTTAAACAAGTCCAATTACATCTCTTCCTTGCGCTGATGGGGTGGATTAGGCGCTTTCAGGTCTGCTCTTGATCCTACACAGCAAGGACTCAGGTGTTATTGAGATGGACAGGAGGCTAAAGCCTCCAGTGAAGAGAAGGTGCCATGCCTGAGAGGTGCTGGGAGGAGGCTGCATCGTCTTGCTCTGCCTGGTCAGAAGGCTTTGTGGGACGGGAAGAGCAAACCCAGCTCTGGCTGCAAATGGTTGCGGTGATTATAGCTGTTTTCTGGTTACCTGCCTACACGGCTGCCACTTTTCTGTGGGTTTATCAGTGTCTGTGAGGTTTCCAGCGGTGCTGGGAGCTGTTGGTGTTTGCTTCGGGCCAGGCAGGGCACCGCTTGGCCAGCTCCGCTCTCCCCACCAAGGCACGGCCAGAACAGTTTTGGGGTAGTGCCGTGAGGTTTGACAAATCCTACAGGATACAGCAAGCAAGATGGCCTGTGGACCCGAGGAATGCACACCAGGGGATCTCTCCTAAAACGTCTGAGATTTCTTTCAGCAGATTGCTCGGTGCTTTTCCAGGCATACATGATCCGTCCTGCATTTGGCTGCACGCTGAAGCTTGTCAGCTTGGGGACCAGCGTTGATGTGAAGGGTTTATCAGGAGAGCCAGTTCATTAAGTCAGGATAGATTGCGTACAGCAGTCAGCTCTTCAAAGACAGCTTCCCCTCACTGATGCACTGATAGTCTTAAAAACCATCTCTTTCACATCGATTTTTGGCTACCTCCAAAACTGTTTGGGCAGCTTGCCTGTGCTGCCAAAGGATGCTGCTGCCTGTGCGTGTCTGTGGCTCCTGCCTGCAGCTTTCATTATGGGGTGCGCAGGGTGGAGTAACGCCCCCGGCAGTGAGCAGCAGTGCTCAGCAGCTCCTCGCTGCAGCTCCCGCTCCTACCTGCTCCCTGAAAGGATGGGCAGGACCATGAGCTCCAGCAGCCTGTGCACCACGGCCGCCCTCCACAGCACAATGTCCCCACCCTGGCAGCGCTGCTGTCTGCAGGGGGGAGAAATGCTTCCCCAGATCGGTGCCCCCGCCTCGGGTCCACACACATCCCTCCTGCTCCAAACCACGCATCTCAATACAAGCAGCCAGGTTGCAGACGCATCTTTGGCTCCGTGGGACCGGTATTTGCCCAAGTTCTTCCTCGCTGTTTGCTGGATGGTGTTTCACTTGTTCTGTTGAGCAGATAGGCGACGCTCAAGATTTTAAGTGTTTTGGGGTTTTTTAACAGCTGTCTGTTAGCAAAGGAGAGGCAGTAGATTTTGCAGTAGAGCTCTACTAGTAATCGTGTTTCACAGGGAATGAGCAAGTTTGGCAGAACCTGACTGGCCTCTTCTTCCTCATGGCAGCTGTGCATTTTGGGCAGCTGGGACTTGCAGGATTAAGCCCAGCTTATCAGTACGTTATCTTGGGAAACATGCAATCGAGTGCCAACGTCTTGTGCCTCAAAACCAGGCAAGTGATGGTCCCAAAGCCCATGGAGACAGATCCCTGGAGGAGGAGCTGGCACAGACCGTCCTGCGGCTGGGGCTGTGGGGATGGCATCCGTACGGCAGGGGGATGCAGGTCAAGTCTGACAAGGCTGGAGCTGATGAAGGGGAGACCTTGGCTGATGGTTCGTGTCCGCAGAGGCACCCGCAGCTCTGCCCAAGCCTCATCCAGCAGCAGGTGCACATCCTGCCCCAGGGTCTCCAGCCTCGTCCCGTGGCTGAGTAGCTGATGTGCATGGTTCAGGGTCCTCGCTGCTGCCTGCTTCTTCTACGCGCCTGCTTTACTCTTTCACTCAAAGGTTTTGCTGATACTTAGGCGAGGCTTCCCCTCACTTAATGCAGTCTAACCTGCAGATGTTTAACTCTGGGCTCCATCTGGAGACCCTGGAGAGACATGGTGAAGCACGGCACGCACCTTTCCCCTCCCGCCGTGCCAGGAGCTGAACTTTCGGGAGGACTTAGCCAGGCAAACGGACCTCACCCCCAGTAACTGAACTCCTACAGGCACGGCTGTGCACAGCCCAATGCCAGCTAGAGGCAAGACACACTTATCACCAAGCCAGATGGTTCCTGTTCCCAGGACTGTAAATTTGGGGAGGGGGAGAATAAATAAATAAACTGCTCACAAGTTGCCTTTGAATGGAAAGTAAAACACTGCAGGACATCCCTCCCCCTTCTCCTCCCATGTGCGTAAAACCAACTTGAAACACACCCTGTTGCTGGGAAAAGTAAGGCCGTTCTGTTTTGATTTTGGTAGATAATCTTGTGCCGTGGAGGTCAGCCGGGCAAAGCGAAGAGGTCATGATGAGAAGCAAACATCCGCGCTTAGGACAGCTGCTGGGAAGTGCTTTGGAAAAGCCAGGAATTTCGAAGAACAGATTTGTGAGTCCCCAAGATGAGAAAAAAAAAAAAACCCAAATCCAAGGTGGGCCACTGCTTTCTCCTACGGTATGTTTAAGTGAATACCCGGCCCCACTAGCCCCTTGTTTTAATTTGTGTCTGAGTGGGGTGTTAATGTACTGTATGCACATCACTATATTTAACAAACTATATGTTAGAACGACAATGTAAATGCTAATTTAATCAGATTTGTATGTAACCAGAATTTTATATACCCATTTGTCCCTTTTCTAATTTATGCTGGTTTATGTGTATAAATGTACTTATAGGAAGGTATATTAAACTTATGTCTTTGTACAGTATATACATACTATTTTACCCAGGCAAAGTATTTTTGCAGTGATATTAGAGAAGATGCCATTTGCTATGTTTAACGACAGAATAAAGTCACGGTCTGTCCCTGGCAGCTCGCTGCCCGCGCTCCTGCTGTTCTTTGTGGGGCCCTAAAGATGTCAGTCTTGATTAAGTTTTATGAGTGGGAGAGTGGGTTTGGGGGGCTGGTGCGAGGACAGCTGCTTCCACCTGACCCACCAGGCCAAGTTCACACAAATCCACTCGTGGCTTGTCCAAAGAAAGATCTGGGTGCGTAAATCGGAGTCCAAAATTGTTTCAGAAAACCCACACTCAGCTGCTGAGAAATCTCGGTGGTTTCTCAAGTTTCAGTTGCACCTTCGATTTTGCCTTTGCAGCTCCCCAGGCTTTTGCATTTGCCCAGAAATGGCCCTACGAGAGCTCTTTCACCCCATCTGCCTCCCTGGCATCGCACTGGGACAGGCAGGAGCAGCTTCTCTGCCCGGCCCCTGATCTGCTGGGAGGCCTTGGGGCAGGGAGCTCTCCTTGACCTCCCTAAAAAAACACAAACCAGTTACACCATTGGTCTTCCTATGCAAAGGGGAGCAGCTACCCCAGCTTGGCACTGCACACCTCTCCCCCACACCTTCCCAAAAAAAGCCTTTTCCAAGCACTGGGACTTGGGGGTGTGTGTCAGGGCAGTGCCTGACCTCTGCTGTGGCAATGCAAAGCAGCCGCAGGACGAGCCGAGCATCCTGTGCGCGAGGGCAGCAGCCAGGAAGAGCCCAGGTCCCTCCTTCTTTTGCAGTTGGGTATTTAACGTAACCCCGTTAATAAACCTCGCTTGGCAGCTGGCAGGGCAGGTGCTCCATTTCCCAGAGCATTCACCTTGTGCTGGCCGGGAATTTTCTCTCCGCAGCCACAGACTTCCAGGGTCTCAGCACCAGCAGGGACGTTTGCTCAGAGGCTGTGGGCCCCGTCCTCCCCTGCCCTGTGCTCCCACCAGCCACTCCTGTAAGGTCCATTTTAGGGGAAAGCCAAATGAATTTCCCAGAGGAATTCTCTCCCAAAGGCAGCTCTCACAGCAGGTAGTTTTAATCCAAAACGTGGCTCGTTCTCAGCTGAAGAGCCCTACACAAAGCCTGTCTCCTTCCATGTGCCCAGAGCCACCAGGCACTGCAGTACCCTGCTCTGCCGGGGGGACAGTCCTGTCTGCAGCAAAGGGGACCCTCCGTGCGCTCACCCACAACTAACTCACCTCCCTGCTTCGTGGCGCGGAGCAAAGGGCACCGCAGCCTCCATCCCTCTCCTCCACGGGCAACCTCCAGCCTGGGCGTCAGCATGGACAACAGCCCCGTTCGCAGAAACCAGACTCAGGAAAGGAGCAGCCTGAGCAATTATTTGCTTAAAGACAAAGCCGTGTTGCTCTTCTTTCCGTGCGACAGTCCAGCACGGCTGCGTGAGTCCCGGGTGCTTGGCATCGGCAGGCCACGTGCTGCACGTTGCAGCAAGGGGTCACGGCCGGGTCTTTGGAGTAATCTGCAACAGAGACGTTGTCTGTTGCGATATCCTCCAGGGCTTGGGCGTAAGCCCTGCTGATTGCAGGTAGCACTGCCCGATACTCTCTGGATGCCACGTCCAAAGGCTCCTGCTCCTGGATATCACGATCCAGATTGAAGATGAGGGGTGGCTGGTGATGCTCAGCTGGCCCAATGCTCCCATCGCAAGCCATCGCCCCTCCTAGGGAAGAAACGAGAGAAAAACACCGGAGTCCCCGGCTGCCCAGGCACCTCTGTGTCCCTCACCCATCTGTCATGGCCCAGTCCCACCATGTCCCAGCTTTGGGAGCCCAGGTCCTGCTGCTAGTCCGAGAGTGCTTCTGAGGCCAACAGCCCCGGGCTGCAAAGCCCATCACGCAGCGGGGCACATACTTACTCCTCGCTGGGTTTGCTCTTGCTTGAATTAACCTGAGTTGGGTTTTACCCGTATCTGCAGGGAACCAAGAATTCCAGAAGTTTTTTTCCCAGACTTTACAATCTCTAAAATGGCGGCAGTACCTGTGGTGTAAAACACCTTGTACTGAGCCAGCCGCAGCGCCGTTATCTCGCCGTCCTTCCCAGCTGCCCCGCTGTTGGGGTGGAGCAGAACCTGAAGGAAGAACAGAAAAGTGCCCGTCAGCCTGTTGCAGAGAAATCCTGCCCTGAGACTCTCTCCCTCCCCAGACGAGACCACGTCCCACCCGTGCACACATTTAGAGGCCCCGTTTAGCCCCTGGACTGTGAGCAACCAACCCAGTTTTGCTTGCTGAAGGGTGGGGTGACAGCAAGAGGGCACCGGGAAACACCAGCAGCTCTCTGGCCCTGCATGCAGGACCCTCTCCCGAATTTACCTCCCCAGACCAATTCTACCGCAATAAAAGGGATCAGGAAGCTGTGGGGGCTTTCAGCAGAGCAGGGCAGAATATTTTGGAGCCGGGACGGTCTCAGGTGCTCTGTGTCACCCACCACTGCCCCGTGCCAACGAGACACCCATCTCCCTCTGTGCTCCCAGCTCAGTGCAGGGACACCTAAGGGAGCCGAGTCGCTGCCTGGGGCCAGCCGTGAGCCGCAAGCCGAGGGTGAGCTCCCGCGAAGCAGAGCCTGCACGGGTAGGTGAGGTGCTGGAACATCACTCCCGGTCCATCTCCGCCGCTGACTCACCCCGCTGTGCGAGCGCTCCCTTCCCTAACAACAGCCGTCCCGGCACAGGGAATGGGGGTCAGAAGGGAAGGAAGGAGGGAAGGGTGGGTCAAATCTCTCCCTTTTGGTATTTAGGACACTTGATCTGCACAGGACGACTGCTTTGGCACATGGGACCGAGAAGACAAGTGAGCTGGACAGTTCAGCGGGCTCGTCTTGTCACACAGTATCTGCCGCGGAGCCAATGGCTTCATTGAGGGATGAGTCACTCGAGGTTTCCTCCCTGGGAACCGAGTATAAAAGTGATTCAAGAAATTTCCACTGTGCTAAAAATTAGAAACATCTGCTGAAGTTGTAGGCAGCTGCGATGCCAAGTTTAGCAACAGCGTTCGCAGCTGATCAGCGCAGTAATGTCTTAGCAGGTGCCCGGCACAGAGCTCTGCCCCGGCACGCAGCACCGCCGGGCATCCTGCTCGGTCACCCGGGGATGTCGGTCCTGCGCTGCCTGGTCCGGATGCAGCCGCTGTCTCGGGGGGCCAGTTGGTACCTCATCTGAGAAATGCCAGGATTCAGGGGAGGGGTGATTTCCAAATGCTCTCGGTTTCCTTTATTGACCTCTCTTGCAAAGTGAATTAAAAAAAAAAAAAAAATCTGGAATTTGGTTTAAAAGTCATATTTTAGGGGGAAAAAAAGGGGTGTAAGGTGGAAGAGGTGGTTCAGTGTAAGGCTGCTGCAAGGAGGAAACCCCTGCTACAGAGTCCCCTCATGCTGACACTCCTCATAGAAATCAGCAAAGATTCAAGGGCTCCTGAAGCCAAAGTACCAGGAACTGAACCAATTCATCCACTTCCAGCCCTAAAGCTTTGCCCACACCTCTAGCAGCACAGTTGGGATGCTGCCATCTCGGTGTAAAGGCACTCAAACCTCCCCTGCTACCAACTAGCACGTTCCTAAAACTGCCTCATAAAACCCCACACTAAGAAAATCTATTATCATATTCAAGGGCTCCTGAAGCCAAAGTACCAGGAACTGAACCAATTCATCCACTTCCAGCCCTAAAGCTTTGCCCACACCTCTAGCAGCACAGTTGGGATGCTGCCATCTCGGTGTAAAGGCACTCAAACCTCCCCTGCTACCAACTAGCACGTTCCTAAAACTGCCTCATAAAACCCCACACTAAGAAAATCTATTATCATTTATTGCATAATTAAGGAGCTTGTTTCGATTGAGCCCTTTCAAGAAACATTCCCAGCTCTGCAACCCTTCTATTGATCTGTGACTGTGTTATTTTAATTTAAAAAAAAAAATAAATAATAGAAAGGGGGAAATAAATCCTTTTCTCCCCAGAAACTGAACTCGGAGCTCCGTTTTTTTTTTTTGCAGAAGAGAGCGGGTGCGTGGGGAGCAGGCGCACACCCCTCTGCCATTGAGCTAATGGAAAGAGCTTATTTGTCTGACACTTGTACCCTTGATACATTTTGTAGGATGTGTTTATTTTTACTGTAAATAGCCTT